CCTGCAAAGGGGAAATTATCATCCCTCGCTTGACGGATTGGGGAACTAAGGCTCCGAGAGACACGAAATGGCCGGTCTGTGGTCACACTGGTACTGAAAAGCAGAGGCTGGTCCCCAAGACAACAGCCCTGCACCGTCAGGGAGAAAGGGTGCCAACGCTCAGATCCGAAGTCAGGAACCACCATTTGCTCCTCGGACCCGGCTATGAGAAGACAGCACTCCAGTCCGGCCGGCACTCCAGCTGTCCCTCTGAGGCTCAGCGTCCAGGACCGTATCCACAAACCACAGGTGGCTGTTTACATTTAGGTTTATTCAAATGAAAGAAAATTAAAGCTTTGGTGTCTCCCGCGTGTCGCTTATACTCTCACGCTCACGGCTCTCACGCTGCACGGCGCAGACGGGAATCACCACAGGAAGTTCTGGCGGGCGGGGCGGAGTCGGAGAGTGCATTGCCAGGTCTGGGCCATCACTCTTTCCAAAGTGGGGACTGGGGTATTCTGGGTATTCTTTAGTTTGGTGACGATCACAAGAGCACATTCTATCAGATGTTTTGTTAACAGCCACATTTAACTGTTTTTGCTGAAGTGGCACTGTCAGATTTTCACATAAATCAACAAGTCAGGCCCTGGCTGGTGTGGCTCAATGGATTGGGTGTAGGCCTGCAAACCAAAAGATCACTGGTTTGATTCTCAGTCAGGGCACATGCCCGGGTTGCAGGCCAGGTCCCCAGTTGGAGGCGTGCTAGAGGCAACCACACATTGATGTTTCCCTCCTCTTTCTCCCACTGTTCCCCTTTCTAAAAATAAATAAATAATTTTTTAAAATTAACAATTCAGGCCAAAAAGCCCATTAAGTAGCCCACAAACCCCAACTAGGGTTTCAGTCTGTGGTCGTGACCTCTCACAGTGCGTGTGAACTCTTACCTTGCAGATTTCTAAGCCACTGTCATGAAACCCCAGGTCTTGCCTCTGTCTTTGGCATTCTGTGTCATTCAAGAGTCAGGTATTGCCCGTCAAGAGCTACTGTGACAGGACATAGCTGAACAGTAGCCATTGTTAGGTAGGAGCTGACCAGCCGCCGTTCCCAGACAGCAGCCTTTCCCAGATAAGCAGTTGTCTCAAGGCCAAAACACTAACCTTCACTTCTGCTTCTGTATGCTTGCTTTTAGCAGTTGTTCCCCGCTCCCTTTTTGCCTTGTAACAAGAATATAAAGGAAACTCCAGCTTGAGCTCATTGCCCAGAATTTGGATTTTTTATCTCCTCTGGGTCCACATGCGTGAATAAACCCCACCTTGCAAACTCCAAGGCCGTCTGAGTCATCTTTTCCGTAACACTACAAGTGGAGAACATGGAAAACGGTGTGTGCAAATAAATAGCAGCTACCGATGGCCAAACGCTCTCCCCAGCTGGGGCAGCTGCAGACCCCGTCTTCATTGTCCCCACCCTGCCCCTTGGAAGCACGTGTGACCACACCCACTTTACAAGTAGGACACTTCAGTTCACAGCAGTGAAGCCATCTGCCCAAATCCACACCGGTAATAACTAGGGAACAGGAACTTGGACCTGCCCCATCCCCAACTCCACCTCCAGCTTCTTCCCCTGCATGGAGTTACCTCGCCCAAGCCAGCCAAGGAGAGACACAGATTCCAGCGGAATGATTCTGACTCAGCCCACGGGAGAGTTCACTGGACAGCCGTCAGAGTGGTCAGGATTGCAGGGCACCAGCAACAGGACCCATGCTGACACTAAGCAGGTCAGAGGTGGGGTAGAGACTAGGAAAGAGTAACAGGCATATGAAGGCAGAGGAAAGGTTGGTTTGGTTTGGTTTGGTTTGAATCAGTTTCAGAGAGAAGAGAAGGGAGGAGAAAAAAGAGGGCAAGAGACATCAATGTGAGAGAAGAACATCGATTGCGTTCTGCACACGCCCCCACCAGGGTCTGAATCTATATCCCAGGCATGGGCCCTGACTGGGAATCGAACCAGTGACCTTTCAGTTTGCAGGAGGACAGTCAATCACCTGAGCCACACAGGCTGGGGCCAAATGAAAGATTAAAAAAGGAAAGAAAAGATTAAAGAGGCTTTGGTCAGGTAGCTCACCTGGTTAGAGCACATCCAGATACACCAAGGCTGTGGGTTCCATCCCCTGTCGAGGCGCATACAAGAAGCAACCAATGAATGTATGAATAAGTGGAACAACAAATCATACTTCCCTTTCTCCCCTCCTTCCTCTCTCTCTAAAATCAATGAATTTTTAAAAATTCTTAAATTTCTTTTTTAAAAGGTTAAAGCTAAGAGAGAAGGGAGAAATGTCAGCTGGCTAAATTTTTCCACAGTCGATTTTCTGACATTTTCTCACCAGGCCCCAGGGCCTGCCCTCACCCCACATGGATCAAAATCACAGGTCTTTCCTCCACTCTCCACTAGAGTCCAGAGCTGGAGAATGGAAATTTCTGTATCTGCACCGTCCATACAGTGTCTAACAGGACAAAAGCCACTTTCTCAGACCCTCTCTCCCAGAGCTGGCTGGACTCCATGAAGCATGACTGACCCTAATTGTTTCATGAGCCTTTATCCTCAGGGCTAGAAAGTTCCTGGAAGTGCCCTGAAGGTGCAGAGGATCCGGGAACTTGCGAAACAGGACATGCCAGACCACGATGACCATCAACCCTGCACCCAAAGATGACATCGAGACAAGCTGCAACCCAGCTGAATCATCCTACCTACAGCCGCCCCGTCACCCAATAGAAACTCTCAGCCCTAACCCCTCGGGGCCGGTGCTGGTGCGGGTGCACCAAGCCCTTTGCCTCCCTCGGGAAAGTAAAATAAAATCTTTATTCTCTGCACTTTCTTCTCTTTGTGAATTCTTTCACTGCCCAGGTCACCGACCCCCCTAACAGTGGCCTCGTGTGGCTATTTAAGCACTTGAAATGTAACAGAGACACTGAATTTTAGTTTTTGTCTAATTTTAGTGAATTTGAACTTAAATGTATACAACCACATGTGGTGGGTGGCTCCCTAAGGAAGAGTGGAGTGCGCCACGGTGAGCCGTGGAAGGGCAGGGCAGGGCCTTCCTGTCCGTGTCCCACGACCCCTGACGTGCACCCTCTGGGGTGACCTCGAACAAGGGACTTAATCTTGTTTGTACCTCAGGCGCTGCACTCGTACGATGGAGCCTCAGAAAGTGTTCCAGGGGTATGGGTCCAAGTGGGGGGCAAAGGGGTGTGTACCGCGTGGTCTCTCCAGCTTGTCTGTGGGTGTAAAAGTTTTCACCATTGAAGTTGGGAGACCAAACGCTAGAACTGCTTTGAGAGAAGGCTCTATATTCAATGGTGTGTGGAAAGTGCTTGCCACAGTGCCTGGCACAAAGAAACAATGGGTGCTTTTAACTTTCTTCTTTTTAAAGGTTATTTATTTACTTATGTATAGAGAGAGAAGGGAAGGGAAGGAGGAACAGAGAGACAGGAACATTGACATGAGGGAGAAACATTGACCTGCTGCCTCTGCCCTAGGGACCAGGGTCCAAACCCGCAACCCAGGCATATGCCCTGACCAGGAACCACACCGGCAACTCTTGGCTTTTCAGGACAACACCCAGCCCCCTGAGCCACACAGATCAGGACAATGAAGGGTGCTTTTAAAAATACCTGGCAGCCCTGTGTGGTGTGGCTCGGTGGACTGAGTGCCAGCCTGCGAGCCAAAGGGTCACAGGTTCTATTCCCAGTCAGGGCACATGGATGGGTTGCAGGCTGGGTCCTGGTTGGAGGCAGTTGCAGGGGGAATGGGGGGGCGACATGAGAGGCAACCACACATTAATGTTCCTCTCTGTCTTTCCCTTCCCCTCTCTCTAAAAAATATAAATAAATGAAATCTTTTTAAAAAATAAATAAAAAGAAAATCATTTAATAACTACTTCCTAGATGCCAGGTTCTGTCCTGTTTTATGTACATTAGCTCATTTTCTTTTTTTAATTTTAAAAACATTTTCTTGAAGAGCAATATAAATCAAGTGTAAAATTATTTGAACTTTATACACATTATTTATATTTATATTCACCTGAGCAGTGGCCTCATGAGTCAAGATATTGCTTATCACTTGACAAACTGCTCCTTCATATCCTGTGGCTGCCAACACTGACTGCCCCACCCCTGGCCCCGCCGCAGAGGTCAGTACTGCTCTGAAGTTAGGTTTGATTCTGGCTGAAATTCAGGTAAGTGGGATCAGACAGAGTGCACGCTTTTGTCTTCTTTTTGAGACTCTCCCAAACAGCCTTATCTTAACCTAGGACCGCAGGCTCTTCGTTAGGATGCAATGGCGGCTGGGAGGGCGAGCACCGGCCTGACACCCTCGGCGGCCTCTGGCCTTCCCAGACGGACTGCGCTGGTGATTGTGCAATTCTCCCAACAGCTGTGGCTAGTTTTGGTTTCAGATTATAACCATCACAAAGTATGACATTTTAAATAAAGAAAAAAGTAGGTACAGTTCTGTTTTGTAAATATTAGCTCATTTTAATCCTCACAACTTTTCTAGGTGGTATGTTTTTATTTATTTCCTTTTAGTACAGTATTATTACTGTCTGACATTTTTTTAAGTTTTTGACATAATTTCAGACTTAAGGCAAAGTCATGAAAATGACACAGAGAATTCCCATATACCTGTTAGGCAGGAGAGACAGCAAACCCAGGCAGGGAGGAGGGAGATACATCCCACCCACTGACTCAGCAGGCCCTGCAATTCTGTGTATTGTCTCCACTATCTGGGAAAGAAAGCCTTGGAAACTGAGCTTTCAACCCAAGGTCTGAAAGGCCAGAAAGACTCATAGTGCCTGAAGGAATAAGCCCGTTAACACCTTAGGGTATTCACACAGTTCTGAAAAGCTAGCACCACCCTTACCTGTCAATCAATATGTAACCTCTTCACCCTCCCCCATCCCACCAACTATATTAAGTCCCCAGAACAAAGGACCTCTCTCTTGCTCTTGCCTTTCTTCCCCAGGAGGGCAAGGTCTGTCCTCTTCCAAGAGAGGACCTCACCAATAAACCCTGCTTGCTCGATAGTAGAACCTGATCCATAATTCTTTACTGCATTGGCAAGAAGGCACGGGCTTCTGGGAGTCTCTCCCTTCACATAAATGGTCCCGTGAGGGATCACACCCTTGGTCTCCAGCCGTTTGGAACACAGTGAGTATGTTCTCACACCTTTGGGGTAAGGGAGATGCTGCGCTGTGGGGGCGGGGCATGCAAACCACCTGCGTTTGGAGGTAGAAACAATGAAATCTGAAATCAGTGCTCGGGCTCAGCCTGGGCTCCGAAGACAAAAGAGTCACTTCTTGCCTCCAGCCTGAGTTTTCGGGCATTCCTTCGTGAGTGGGGGCCTTGCAGAGGTGTCTGGGGCCAACCCCTAAGATGTGCAGGGGCCTCACAGGGAACTCCTATCACGGTAACGTAACTTAGGCTCCTCGGGGACGTGCAAAATAAGGGCCAGTCACCCAGCACTCTGAGGCCCCTGGCTGTTGAATGAGATGGGTGGGGATGGCCAAAAGGGTAATGGCCTTCGGGAGCCCCTCTCAGGAAACGACACATTTTGAAAGTATGACCCAAGACAACGCTTCTTCCAGGGTGGTCCGGAGATGCCCAAAGCTTGGACACTGTAGTTTAAATCATTGGCCTGCAGTAAGCTTACAGAATCTTTTTCCATCCCAGCGGACTTCCAGCAAGTCCATTTGCATCCGAATACTCCTTGCAGGAACGGGAAGAGGGGGCACTGTTACATCTTCCAGGTAAATATCTCTCTCCCTTCCTCTCCCCTCCCCCTCTCCACACACGGGCACAGGTGGAGCCCTTAAAAGCCACTAGGGCACTCGCTGTCGCGAAAGACACTGGTGAGAGCAAGGACACGCCAGGTTTAGGTTTCCCTGCGGCCGCAAGCGGAAGTCCGGGCAAGGAGAGGCACGCCGCCACGCAATCCCACTCCCACCCCCATGGCACGTTCCCCACTGGGGGCTACTTCTGGAGAGGAGAGGGCAAGATTTCAGCCTTGGCTCTTCCAGAGCCTATTCTCTTAACTCGGGCTTTTCGTCCAGATTTGCCTCACCCCTAAGTCTTTTTGTCCCCTTCTCTGACCACCCCATTCACATCTCTACCACTCCCTTGTCTGTCTGCTTTACAAAGAACTTCTGTGTTTTCCAGCCCAGCGGGCCAGCTAGTCCCCTAAGGCCATGCTTTCCCATCACTACTGTCCAGCCTACTCGTTGCCTGCCTGACCCAAGCCTTGCCTCCGACTTCAGCTTTAAATTGGGCTTGGCCCCACTGGGGCTCTGTTAATTAGGAACTTTGGTACCAGAGGAAAAATCTCACCCCCTCCTAGAGTGTAGAACTGGGAAAGGAAAATGGGGAACTACTGGGCCCTGGGAACAATAGGGAGCTTAACTCAGACTCCTTAGAAGGCAGAACCAGCAGGGCGCCTCCCCCTCCAGGGCTAAGGTAAAAGGTGACGCTTTAAAACTCGGGCTGTTTTTCAGTCCCACCTGAGGCCTGAGCCTGATATCTCTGCCCCAACTCCCTGCTGAGAAGTAACTGGAAAAGACACTGGCATTAGGGCTGCCTGTCACTACCAAATCCAATTAAGCAATGACAGCGATTGAATCTTTTATGGGCACTTTATTCAGATGGCCGGCAATCCGAGAAGATGGTGAGTTCATACCCTAACAAACCATCCTGCCTTCTCTTTCCTGGCCAGATCTTTTATAAGGGGGGTAGGGGGAGGACAAGCAAGGTGAGGTGAGGGCTTTGAAATTCAGGGAGGATTAGATGAGCCAAGCTGCAGGCTTCCTGGTCTCAGCAGTTAGCTGTTCCCAAGGGGGCAGGTCACACAAAAGGCCCAGATGCCTCCAACCTGTCCCCAGGTGGTAATCTCTAGCCAGTGCCCCAGGAGGTCAGCTGCTTTTCCCAGGAGCCAGGATGGGCCTTATCTGTAGTTTCTGAAACAAAAGCTTAACACACACATTACTTGCTAGACTTATAACTTTTTACCTTAAGCTAAAATTTTCCAAGTCTTGAGTCCCCTATCAAGACTTGAGCTCCCAGAGGATGCAGGAACTACTAAACTCTTTCTCCAACCCCACCCCCCAGGGGCCAGGCAGTTCTTCCTTCCACTACCCTTTTTTCCCTTTTCTGGAAAGGGAATCAAGAGTCCATTCCTGCTGTACCCCCTTAATATGTATCCTTTCTAACTGCTCACAGTTTGATCCTCAGAACTTAAAAAAAGACCGACTGATCTTTTGTTGTTGTTTTTTTGTAACAAAGCTCGGCCCCAATATCCACTAGGGGATGAGGAGGTTTGACCATTCCGTGGGACCCTAAACTATAAAACAATTCTACAACTTAGCCTCTTTTGTAAACGTCTAAACGCCTCAAAAGTGGTCAGAGATCCCTTACACCCAAGCATTTTTCTATTTGAGGGACCGTAGGGGTTTATGCAAAAAGTACAGATTTAGTTGCGCTCACTGATTCATCCTTCCACTCCCAGATGCTGGCGGAACCAGTCCCGGCCCCAGAGGCCCCAGGGGAGGCCCTTTCTCAGCCTCCCTCACTGCCGCCACACCCGGGGTCCCCAGCACAGCCACCGGCTCCTACTTTTCCTGCCCCTAAAACTGCACCGACTGCTAAGCCTTTGCCCGTAATAGGAACAGCAGGAGAATCCGGCCACCGGCTGACACAGACCTCCCTCCCTCACTGACCTCAGGCAGGTCAGAGCTGGCCTTGGGAACTACTCGGACAATCTGGACAAATATACAGACGCTTTCCAGCACCTTCCGTTAGCGTATGAACTGGCCTGGAAAGACGGAATGGTAGCTCTGGGACAAGCTTTATCAGACAGCGAACGGGAAAAAGTGAAGGGGGCCAGAAAGCTTGCTAACAACTTACATCTGTCTGAGTGTTACAGAACAAACAAGGGGGGCCTGGGACGATATATTATTACTGAAAGAAGCCCCCAGGTCCGTTATGTCCGCCGCCAGAGGAAAGACATCTCTCAATGCCAGAGATTTGTGAAAAGGAAAGGAAATGTTTATTTAATGCTGTACAGACTTAAAGTAGTGACCTAATGTCTTCACCAAAATCCCAAAGTCCCTTAAAACACCCACAAACAGACACAGTCCTTCCTTCCTTCCCCCTTTGCCCAGTCCAGAGTACTGTATCTCCTAAAGCTTCGGGGGTCCCCACTCTGACAAAGGCACGTGGTCCTCTCTCCCCGGGCCACGGGAGTCTCCACTCTGTCAAGGCTGCGTGGTTCTCTCCCTCAGGGCCGCGGGAGTCTTCACTCTGCTAAAGCTGTGTGGTTCTCTCTCTCCAATGGCTGCTGCATTTCCGTTTAAATCCCCGCGCCCATCTTCCTCTGCAGCCCCATTTCCAACTCCTCCCACACTAGGCTTCACATGCCAGAACTCATACCCTTCCAGCTTTACTGGACTGCCATCATGAGTCTGGGCAGGTGTGGCCCCATGTCCTGGAGCCAATCTTCTCCAAGCTCCCATGCAGGTGCTGTAGCTCGGGGGACCTGCCCCCAGTCACATCTTGGTGGGGAAGTTACTTCCATTCCCCTGGCTCAGGGCATGGCCACAGCTATTTAACATATCTAAGCGACCAGCCAAAGGCTATAGATATGTTAAATGACCACACCAGAGGGTAGCTGCAAGGCTGTTGCTATGCAAAACAGCTCTCAATGGCCCTGCTCCATTTGTCCCTTCCCCCAACCCACACCTGGGGAGTGGGAGTGAGTACATCCAAAAATCCCCTGGACACCTTGAGTTCTGGACCCCATTTCAAATGCCTGTTTGGGGTCCCCCCTCTTAGCTGTACCCTGTAACATGAACACAAATATCCTACCGGAGAAACAGCGGTTCCCCTTCTGGGCCCCCAATGGGATTATTATAGTAATCCCCACAAGTGGGAACAAAACCATTTCTCACTTTGTATTAAGGCTGGATTCAAGGCAGGCCACCAAACGGCCATTAACTACTCCGAGGAGTTTGCTGTTACCCAGGGCCCCGATGAAAACCCTATCACTTTCCTAGAAATGCTGAGAAAAGCTCTCGTCAAGCACACTGACCCAGACTCACAGTCTTAGGAGGGACTAGTGATACTAAGGGATAAATTTTTAACTGAGCCGGCTTCTGATACTAGGAAAACATTAATTACAAAAACTTATCCAGGGACCTGAGGTTTCCTTGGAGGAGATGCTGACCACAGCCAACACAGTATCTTTATTGTCATGACCCAGAAAAGGAGGCCAGGGCTCGGGAGAAAGCAGGACCAGAAGGAGACTAGGCCCACCCAAGTTCTAGCCATGCTCACGGGGCCTCCACAGCTACATCCTACGGGCCCTGCACAGACCACTCCAATGACACTGAGTGTTGTAGCATCCAGCAAACGCGAGAACAAATATCGGAGACTTTCAGGGTATCAAAGATGTTACTTTATTGGCCAAGTTTAACCTGCGCAGGGGCGAACTCTCAAAGTGTCCAGTGACACAGTGCCCACAAGGAGCTGCAAACGAGAGCCGTGCCGAGCGCTTACAACTACGTTCTTATACAGGGGAGGGCAAGCAAGCGTTATACAGAAGCAGACGTGGCAGTTAGTAATTCGCTTACAAAGACCACGCGCGGGAATTTCAAACCAAGCATTCTTTCATAAGGCGGGAAGGCAGGATGTTTGTTCATTAACCGAGTAATCTCCTGGCTCTAGCTAGCTAGGTTCTTATTTTCTGATTAAAACTACAAAGCATTGCTTATCTAGCCTACCCAGGGGAGAGCATCTGCTAGACACAGGATGTTTGCTTAACTGCACTCTGTCTCTTTTATCATTTCTTTTTAGCTACAATGTGGTTCTTGTTTACTAAGGTTAAATTTAGTTCTTAATTTCCTTATTCCCAACAAGTGTCGTGTGTGCCGAGAGAAGGGGCATGGCACAGAGGAGTGTCCTAATCAAAATAAGCTGCCTCAGATGCCCTGCTGCAAATGCAAAACTACAGGCCATTGGGCAGCCCCCTCAGCCTGGGGCAGCAGCTGCCCTGCAAAAGGTAACTCAGGGCTAAAGCTGTCAGCCCCGGTCGGCCCCACCTCAAGAGGTCACCATCACTGGACTGGAGCCCAGGGTATGCATGGATGTGGCAGGTAGAGCAATAACCTTCTTATTAGATGCAGGGGCCACCTAGTCTGCCCTTATCGCCTTCTCCAAACCCCTTCTCCCGATCCTGCCCGTCCTGGATGCACAGGAGGGCCCACCACTAAGAATTCCCTCCTCCTCTGGGCTTCCTCGGGGATGGATATGACTTTACTCACTCCTTTCTTGTAGACCCTGGATGCCCACCTCCCGTCCTCCGTCGGCCTCTTCTCCAATTGTTAGGAGCCAAAGGAGTCACAGGAGGGAATCCTGCCTTAAGACCGCCTCCCCGCAGGTTAGTTACACAAACTGAAGGCCATCTAAGTACTCTTGCCCCCGGAAGGGAGGGACAGATGGACCCAGTGGTCTGGGACACCGGAGTCCCTGGTCAGGCTGGAAGTGCTCCGCCAGTCTTCAGCGGCCTCAAAGATCCCTCACAGATTCCCTACCTGAAGCAGCACCCCCTAAGACCCAAGGCAAGGGTGGGGCCTCAGCCTATAACTTCTAAATTTCTTTCTCATGGGCTACTTAAACCCACAAGCTCCCTTGTAACACTCCTTTATTAGTGGTCAGGAAAAAGGACAACTCCTATAGATCAGTCCAAGATTTGAGAATCAACAATGAGGCACTGGTTCCACTGAACCCTGTGGTTCCCACCCATACCCTCGCCTGGGAACCATTCCTGTGGATACTGCACAGTTTACTGTATTAGACCTAAAGCATGTGTTCTTTTGCATCCCCCTGGACATAAAGTCCCAATTTATTTTTGCTTTTGAATGGACAGTCCCTGAGAGGTGGTCCAGTTAGAGCTCAGTTTCAGGCAAAAACCTAGTCAGGATGTGTCGGCCCCACTGTAGCCCCCAAGAGCCCAGGTTTTAATAAAAATTGGGAAAGACAGTTCCCTATTCTTATGTCTTCTCCAACAGCCATCAGGGTTCCTGGCGTCTCCAGCTGGGTGCATCACTCCCAAGTCCAACCCTGCAAAGAGTCAACTAAACCCCCAGGACTTCCGGAACAGCAGGACGATGCTGCATCCTGCCGTGAGCTGGCGGAGGGCCTCAAACTCCTCTTCCACAAGACTACTCTTGAGTCTGATAAGTAGCTTCCTGTTTTACCCCTCACCCCCTTTCGCTCATGCTAAATCTCTACCTAACACTGCCTATGAGTCAGCCAATCACACAGCCCAATCTTTAAAATTAAATTCTTCCAGTTGGCTTTATCTTTCCACCCGGAGCTGGGGCTATGTTCAGCCACTGGCACCGGAACAGTGGGGAAATGTCTCTGCAACCCTGGATGAAAAGACTGTACATTCCAGCCCCTGGGGCATCATAGCCACTCAAAACCTTGCTAAGCAATTGCCCAGGACTTTCTCCACTAGCAGTCAACGCTCCCCTAGAGGGCCTCTGTTTGCTCACTTAATAAACCATCTGCAGGTCAGCTACCCCTTCTGCATTGTCAGTAATGCTCCAGGAGGCACGCCTGTGGGAAGGCTTGCTGACAGCCAATGCCGACAAAATTTTCTAATCCCAAATCCCCCGCTCACAAACACTACTCGTGGAATTCTCCTCACCGCAATACCCTATATCTCTGGGGGAATTCCTAACCCGGGGGACGAAACAAATTTCATACACACCCGCTTTCCAAAGCCGGTGGTCCCTAGCCCGCCTTTAGACAAGAACTCACCCAAAACAGCTTACTGCCAAGGCAGGCCATCCTATTCAGTGAATAATTTCCTCCCACGAGAAAGAAAGGACTGCATCACTCTGTACCGCAGCTCTCAGGTCGCCGTACATTTTGGACTGAAGAGGGGCTCTATCTTCACTGAATTTATAAATAGCACAAGTTTCCACAATCCCATAATAGACCCCCTGGTCGCGGCCTCGCTGGCGGCACAAGGACTGCAATGGTGGGGCACCAAGTACCCAAGGGCCAAGCAACTAGTCAAGGGCAGATACGTCTCTGTGGAAACCCAGCCAGTTAAGCTGGCAGAAATTGCTCTGATGGCAGAAATACCTGCTTTGACAGGCGTCTATTGGGTCTGTGGGTCCCAGGCATACCGGACCCTCCCTCCACAGTGGAGGGGAATCTGCTCCCTGGGGTATGTTCTTCCCAACATTTTCTTCGCGTGGGGAAACGCCTCCCTCCCATTCCCGTTATGAGGACAAGTACAACTTTTCAAAAGGGCCTGTCCCCTTATTCCTCTAATGTCACTTATTGGGATTCTCTCCGCCTCGGGAACTGCGGTAGGGGGATCTTCATTCGGAACCCACCACCACCACCATCACAGGAAAGAGCTGAGTCATTAACTAAAACAGGGGAAATGCTGGCAGCACCCCAAGGGCAACTGGGACTCATTGGCTGGAGTTGCCCTCCGCAATCAACGGGCATTTGACACTCCTCAGCCTCAGTGGGAGGAATGTGTTTGTACCTCAAGGGAGAGTGTTGCTTCCACATTAACGAGTCAGGGCAGGTCCAGCAAAACATCCAAAGCATCCTTGAGTCTGCATCTAGGATCCAAAGTTTGACCTCTTTTGGGGACTCAAATGCATGGCTTCTATCCCTCTTTGCAGCACCATTACTAATTATACTAGTAATATTACTATTTGGACCCACAATAATCAACTTATTAACTGAATTTATCTCTCATAGAATAGAGACTATAAAGCTATAAATGACTATCATGGACAACTGTCAGCCTCTGGGACTGGAGGCTCCAGGCATCATCACGGCCGATGGCAGGCACCTCCCTCCGCCTCCTCTGACTGATGGGTAGCGAGCAGATGGACCCAAAGAAGGCTCAACGCCCTTTCACAGCAGGAAGCAGCCAGAGCGGTCGTCGCCCCCAAGCCCCCAAAGATCTGGGTTCTGAATGCTCGAGGGGGGGCGGTTAGGTAGGAGAGACATCAAACCCAGGCAGGGAGGAGGAGGGACACCTGTCCCACCCACTGACTCAGCAGGCCTTGCAATTCTGTGTCTATGTTTCACTTTCTGGGAAAGAAAGCCTTTGAAACTGCTTTCATACCAAGGCCTGAAAGAGCCCAAAGTGCCTAAAGGAAGAAGGCCATTAACACCTTAGGTATTCATGCCCCTGTCCCGGAAAGTAGCACCACCTTTACTTGCCAATCACTGTAACCTCTTCACCCTCCCCCATCCCACCAACTGTGTAAGTCCTCGGAACAAAGGATCTCTCTCTTACTCTCACTTTTCTTCCCCACCTGGGCAAGGCCTGTTTTCTTCCACGAGAGCATGTCACCAATAAACCCCATTTGCACAATAATAGACTCACTGATCTAATTTTCCACTGCATTGGCAAGAAGAACCAAAGTTTGCCTTGGCTGGTGTGGCTCAGTGGGTTGAGTGCAGAGCTTCAAACCATAGGGTCTCTGGTTGATTCCCAGTCAGGGCACATGCCTGTAACGGAGTGCAGCCAGGTTCCCCCCAGAGGGATTTGTAATGAGTTCCAGAACTCAGGATGTCCAAAAAATATAGGATGTCCTCACCCCTACAAGTCTGGACTGGGGGGACGGGGCACATGGAACAGGGCCACTGAGATGTATTTCATGTCAGCATTTGGCCAGCTTCATACCTTATATGCAAATGGTTAGTTTACATATCTATAACTTGGCTAGCTTCCTAGATATGTTAAGTAGCTGTGGCCACACTTTGAGCCAGGGGGATGGAAGTGACTTCAACCCATGAGTAACTGGGCAGCAGCTCCCCCTGATTACACTGCCTGTGTGAGAGCTTGGAGATGGTTCACTCCACACCGTGGGTCCACACCGGCCCAGATTTACTACGGCAGCCCAGAAAGGCAGGAAAAACATGGGAGTGCCAGCAGATGCAGCCAGTTGTGGGAGGAGTTGGAAGTAGGGTTGCAGAGGAAGATTTACAGCAGGATTTAAACCCAGGTGTGACAGCCATGCGGGGTCTGACCATGCAGTTTGGGGGGTTAACCACGTGGTTTTGGGACTCCCTTTGCCATGTGACTTAGGAAGCAGGAAAGCAAGATATAGCAGCCATGCAGAGCTCTCTCAGCAGTTTGGAAGAATGCAGAGGAGACAGTGCAGGACTAGGGACGGGGACAATGGGAGACCTCACAGGAAAGGAGAAGGATGAAAGGACTCTCGCTGGTGGACCATGAGAAGGTGCCGTGTGACTTTGGATTAAGAACTGGAGATTGAGGTGACACAGCTGCAGGTACTGGGAACCACGGGAAGCCTGCCAGGCAAGCATGAATGGCTGGGAAGAACCGGGAGCTAACAGAGCCACAGACTTCTATTTCCCCTGAGATACGGTACACCTGCCTGGCCTGGCTGGGCAAAGCGGGGAAGGAGGGACTGCGTGCATTTGTGGGTGTTTCAAGGAACTTTGGGATTTTAATGCAGACAATAAGTCATTACTCTAAGTCTGTGTAACTTTTGAATAAATAGTTCCTTTCCTTTTCACCAAACTCTGGTATTAAGAGCCAAAATTCTGATTCCTTGGTGGCAGGCAAAGAATCCACAGTGACAGAGGGACCCCGTATCTGGACCCCCCCCATTGGTCCCTTCTGTAACATGCCTGGGTCCCCAGTGGGGCGCACAAGAGGCAACCACACATTGATGTTTTTCTTCTCCCTCCCTTCTCCTCTCTCTAAAAATAAACAAATAAAACCTTTAAAAAAAGGAAAGAAAAAGAAGAGGAACCGAGTTTCTCCCATAACATACCCTCAATCTGATTCCCCAAAGATAACATTTTGCCACAGTTATTCTTTTCTCTGTCTCTATCTGCACGTTTTTTCCTGAGCAGTTTGGGAGTAAGTAGCAGACGAGTCCCCCTTCTCTATACATCTGTGTGTACTTCCTAAACCAAGGGTATCTCTTACATAACCGTAGCACATTCATCTAAATCGGGAAATCGACATCAAACATAAAAGATCTAATTTGGGGCCTTTCTCCAGATTCTGTCAATGGCTTAAGCTGCATCTCTGGTGGCAAAAGCAGCCCCGGATCACACACTGTGTTGGGTTGTGTTCTCTTGATCCCCCTTCGTCTGGAGCAGGGCCGCTGTCGTTCTCGGCGTTTCCTGGCGTGGACGTGTTTGACAAGCAGGGATCAGTCACTTTGTGGGACGCCCCTCGGGTTGGGCTCAGCGGCTGTTTCCTCCGGCCTCCCTCTGACTTCCCTCAGAGGGCCAGGTGGTTCTCGATCGCCCAGCACCACGGGAGCGCTGCCACCCACTTCTCAGCGCGTCATCCCGGGAGGCCACGGCGTCTCGGCCCCATTACTGGTGTCGCCTCGGTCGATCACTTGGCTCCAGGGGTGGCCGCCAGGTTTTTCCTCTTTGTGTCCCTATTTCCCATGTGTAAATGGTAAGTGTCTCGTGGGGATATCATTTGTGGGCATGTAGATATAGCGCCTGTGGGTTGCGTGCTTTTCCCCACGCCGCCAAGTAATGCACACCCTTCTGACACTACCTGAGGCCGTCTACCCAAGACACGTCTGTCGGGAGCTGACCAACAGCTGACCTTTGACACAGTCGGCTCGAGTGAGACGCATCTGCACAGCAGAGGCAACTATGGTCGGATCTCCTGTCTATCACCTCCTGTGTGCCTGTCCCTGCAAGCAACAGGTGGTGGGATTTTTAAATACCTGTGTGTTATAATAAAAACTCTGCACGATGCCTCTGATTCTGCACAAAATGACTTGTTGACCACAGAATAGAGACTCCTAGCAACCCTAATGTTACCTGTTTCCCTCACCTGGGAAGTTAAGGACAAAATTAAACTATGGGCAGACCAACTGCTAGAACGCTGGAGGAGGCCGTTGATAGGAATGTTTCTTAGGGAGTCACCACCTGAAAGCTTAAGACTTATTAGAGCCACTACCCCTTCCATACCCTGGACAGGAGTGTATAGAAATAAGGAGTTCCAGTTGAGAATAATAATCTCAATACATGGAAACGAGCACAAAACATGGCCCCTCCCCAAGATATATAAATCAAAAAATATAGGCCAAAAATTAGTTATTTGATTGAGATAAATTTAATTTTAATGGATAATAGTTGATTTCTATATACCTATAAATCATCCCTTGCACCCTTTTAATTTAGACCAATTCCTAGAATTCTAATAGATACCTAGTTACTAATTAGCACCTGAAAGTTTGTGCCTGTATAGCTTTGTTGGCTAACTGATTAATGACCCTTTTGGTCAAAATAACCTTTGTTTAATATGGTCGATCTGTGGAACTTCCTGTACTTTTCAGTTATTTCTTTGTTTAACATGATTGATCTGTAAAATCTTCTGTGTTTTTAGAAATTATTTCTGTGGTAACCGTTTCTGTTTTAATAATCACACTATGCATTGAATGTTGTATAACCTCCCCTATAAAAATAAAGATTGAAGCCCTGGCTGGCGTAGCTCAGTGGATTGAGCACGGGCTGGGAACCAAAGTGTCCCAGGTTTGATTCCCAGCCAGGGTACATGCCTGGGTTGCAGGCCATAACCCCCAGCAACCGCACATTGATTTCTCTCTCTCTCTCTCTCTCTCCCTCCCTTCCCTCTCTAAAAATAAATAAATAAAATCTTTAAAAAAAATTAAAAAAAATAAAGATTGATTTTTCTCGGTGAGTCAGTTGGGCCCAATAAGCCTGGCTGTCTTCCAGCACCCCACCCGGTGTCTCAATTCATTCGTTTCACCTTAGCTGTGCATCCCTCGGGGACCCTGAGACCCCACTGAGGCTGGACCCTGGCACACGTCAAATTCCACAGGTAGGCGCTCAGTCTCACAAGACCTCCCCCCACCCCAGCCCTTCAGATGTCAGGTCGAAGCTCAGCCAGTCAAGGCTGTCACCTGGCTTCTGACCCCCTCCGTGGTTCTCACAGCCCCCTCCGTGGGGTCGATCAATTTGCTACAACGGCTCACAGAGCTTTTTATTTTTTATGTTTTTAGTTATATTTTATTTTATTGATTATGTTGTTACAGTTGTCCTGATTTTTCCCCCTTTGGCCCCTACACCCAGAAACCCCTGGTCCCTCAGGCAATCCCCCCACCTTTATTCACATCCATGGGTCATGGTATAAATTCTTTGGCTGCTCTCTTTCCTATACTGTACCTTATTATATCCCCATGGCTAGTCTGTAACTGCCTACTTGTATGTCTTAATCCCCTCACCTCTCACCCATTCTCCCACACCCCTTCCCATCTCTTCGTCTTTAACCTTTAGTGTTTTAACTATGATGTGTCTTGGGGTGGGCCTCTGTGCATCCATCTTGTTTGGGACTCTCTGTGCTTCCTGGACTTGCATCAGAGAAATATTTTACTTACTGGATTACTGGTTTGTTATTATTTTTTTTAAAAAAAAAGACATAACTCAGGAACAGCCAGATGGAAGACATGCAAAGGGCAAGTTCTGGCGAAAGCGTGCGAGCTTCCGTGCCCTGTCCAGGAGCACCAGCTTCCCAGCACCTACGCAAGTTCACTAACCCGGAATTCTCTGTACTCGCCTTTCTGGGTTTCGTTTCTGTGGAGCCTTCATTCCATAGACGTCAATGCTAAAATCATTGGCCATTGGTGGCAGATTCAACCTCCAGCCTCTCTCCCCTCCCCGGAGGCCAGGGAAGTGGGACTGAAAGTTCCGACCCTCAAATTGTAACCGTGGGGAATTGTAACCCACCCCACCATTCTTTTACATTGTTTCTGTAAGTGCTGGCTTGGACTAAAATGCAGCTTATAGATAAACAGCATGTTCGTATAGGAATCCTAGGAACTAACTTCAGAAGATACAGATCTGACCATCAGGCATCCCACCCAGCTCCAGGAGAAATTGCTGACCTTCAATCGTGGGGCCAGGATGAGTCAAACCGGACTATTGCTTGACCAGTCTCAAGGTCCTTATTGCAATGGACTATGCTGACCTGTACATATATTGTAGAACTTTGCAAATGATGTCTCAAAATAAGAAGATAGATAAGTTGCAAATGATTTTTGTCTAAGAAAGATGCAAATGACTTCTGATGGAAATGATTTCTGTCCAGCAGACAACATAGCCCCAGAGATTAAGGGTTCATTGCCCTGTTGGACACAAACTGGTTTTGAATCTCATTTTGCAATCTTACTTCAGCAGTCTGTCTTTCATCGATGAAATATCCTTGCATCAGCTCAAATCAACTTCACCATCTGGCTGGTTCCCTATGTTCTGAGTACTTACTATATGCCAGGTTATGCCCTTGAGTAATATTATGAACTCTAAATCTCACGAGAAGAGTCCTAAAGATA